CAGGACTGCTTTGCTGTCCCTCATCGAGTTAGACAAGCGAGCGGGGAACCCCTGAGAACTGTCTGTCCGGGGTGGGGGTTGGGTCCCTTTAAGCACAGCCCTTGGCTAGCCTGAGACAGCAGCTCCACGCTCTAAGTCCTAATCTGATGCCCTGCCGGCACTGCTTCCAGCCATCCTTAACTCTGGTTCAGGGTCCACTCCATGTGGACATGCTAGTTCGAATTAGCAAAATGCTAATTCGAACTAGTTTTTAGGTCTAGATGCACTAGTTCGAATTAGCTTAGTTCGAATTAACTAATTCAAATTAAGTTAGTTCGAATTAGTGCTGTAGTGTAGACAGACCCTTACCTATTAATTTCATTTAGTGATCCCTAGCTTTTCCTTATTCACTTTCTTGATACCGGTCATGATTTTTTAGACCTCTATCATATCCCTCCTCCTTTCTAAGCTGAAAAGTCCCAGTCTTTTTCATCTCTCTTCATATGGCACTCGTTCCAAACCCCTCAGCATTTGTTTCCCTTTTCCAATGCCAAGATACCTTTTTTGAGAAGAGGTGCCCACAACAGCACACGCTATTCAAGACGTGGGCATCCCCTGGATTTACACAGAGGCAATAAGATATTCTCTGTCCTAGTCTCGAGCCCTTTTGTAATCATTCCCAACATTCAGTTTGCTGCTATTTTGCTCATCCAGCAGCTGCCCCCTCTCTAAATTACATAAACGCCTCCTGCCTGGGTAATGGACTGAGAAGTGACACAAAAATCAATAAATAATTCCCGTCTAGAGATGGCTGGCTGCTGTTCCGAGCTGCTACCTGGGCTTCTCTGCCCAGAGCTGTCAGCATGTCCTAACGCACATGGACTGGCTTCCCTCCCCCTCCCCACATCTAACCCTGTCAGCTTCTGGCATCAGACAGGGGTGGCAAGAGAGACGGAGAAAGAAGCCCTTGGATCAGAGGCCTGGCACAAGGCAGGCGCTGGCCATAGAGCCTGGCATGAACAAGGCTGAGCAAGTGGCACGGGACTAAGGATGTTAAATATCAAGTAATTTACTAGTCGAGTAGTCGATGGAATTTTCATCGACTACTCGATTAGTTGATGGGCACTTCTGCATTCCTCCTTTGAAATGTACAAGAGCCACCACTGGGCCCCTGCTGAGGCTCTTATACATTTCAAAGGGGGAATGCGGAACTCCGCGTGCAGCCTTGGACCCGTGGGAAGTCCGGCTGACACCGGGCTACACTCCGGTGCCAGCTTTGAAATGCACAATAGTCCCCAGCGGGGGCTTTTGTGCATTTCAAAGCAGAAGCGCCCGCATGAAGCCTGGGGGCAGAGCAGGATTCAGAGTCCCCCACTGATCCCAGGCTCCATGCTGCGCTGCCGCTTTGAAATGCCATGTAGAGCACAACCTGGGATCAGCTGGGGACTCCCCAGCTGACCCTGGGCTCTACATGCTGCGCTGGAACCCGGAATCAGCTGGGGAGACCTCAGTTGACCCCAGGCTCCACGTAAACGCCGCTGCGGCGTTTCAAAGTAGTCACCGTCCTTTTGAGAGCAGAGCAGGCACTGCCCTTTGAACTCGGCACAGGATGCTGCAACTCCAGCTCTTGTCTCTTTCAAACAGAAATACACTGCCCCTTGCAGAACCGTGAGTGTGGGAGCCACAATTTTTTCTTTGAAGAGCCGCATGTGGCTCACGAGCCGCGGGTTGGTCGATAGGCACTTCCACTGTCCTTGAAAATGTACAAGAGCCCCAGCAGGAGGAGGAAAGGAGAAACGTGGAACTCCGTGTGCAGATTTGGAACTGAGTAGTAGACTGTTCGATATGCATTTGCTTATCAGACAGTCGACTAGTCCTTAACATCCTTATATGGGACAGCTCGATATCAGGGAGGGGACAGAAACATCCCCAGGGCGCACAGGAACACACTGGCCCCTCGGAAAGGAACCGGCCGGGATGCCAGTAAGCAGCAGAGACGTTCTGATGGAACCCACATGCACAAGATGGGGAGAGAGAACTAGCCACGTCAGGGCAGTAACTCCGCCGGGGCAGTACCAGCTTGTTTGGATCCGGGTGTAAAAATGTATCTCCGAGGGAGGGTATTTGTCTGGCCTGGGGGGGTGGAATGTCCTATCAAAGCAGCGGTGCCACAGAGCTGGCCCATTGCTACAGGGGTACATGCACTAGCAGCCTGGCAGAGTCCTTGGGATACTAGCACCATGCTTCATTGCCAGCAAGCCTGGCTGGCTGCCTTTATCCCTTAGCTCCTGTGGTCACTGGGCAGGTGTCTCGAGGGCTGCCGTGCCAACTGCCTGAGCAGGGCTGGGGTGGCACACAGAGATGCAGCCAAACATCTAGCAATACCTACACACACACAGAAGTTGGAGGCAGGAGGGGATGTGCCCACCCTTGGCCGCTTTTCTGTGCTTGCTCCCAGCTGGGTTTTGTCAGCACTGGCAGGGAAGGGAGCTAAGAGCCCCGACCCAATCCCAGCTGCTCGCTTGGGACACCAGTGTTCGTCGCAAGCCCGGAGGGTAGGGAGTGTTCGCCCCAAGCCTACAGAGGCCAAGAATTGGCTCCCTATTCCCTGAATGACCAGGAGAAATGTGCGGGGCAAGGGGGCTCAGTGATGCAGGAAACACCCTGAGGCCTCTCTCCACAGGGTCCAGCTGATGGCAGCCTCGGTCCCGTTGCAGCTCTGCGCTCGGCCTCTCCGGCCAGGCTGCAAGCAGGGATCAGGGTTACTATAGGCAGAGGGGGCTGCTGGGGGCTTGCTGGGGAAAGCCTTGCAAAAGAAATGTACTTGGACCGCGCAGCTTGGCTGGGAAACCGATGCCGGGTGCCCCGGGAATGGCCTGATTGACGCTGAGAAAGTCTGCAGCCCCAGCGACACAGCTCAGTCCCCACAGCTGTGAGCCAGCCCAAAGCCCAGCGCGCTCTGTCAAGGGCCTCGCAGGCTCCCCTTTCACAGTCCCATCAGAGGCCTAGGGCAAAGGGCAAGGCTGCCGTGCCCAGCACGGTGCACTCCTGGACAGGACATCCCTCCCACAACACCCCCAGCCAGCAGGCCACCCCCTGCCCACGTGGGGGAAGGTGCCACCTCCCCTCTTGGCAGGAAGGCACGTACCCAGCAAAGCAAAGGCCTGGCCGTAGCCCTGCCGAAATGGAGCCGTGCCCAGCCGGGATGGTCGTGAGGCCAGATTCTGCCCTGGGCCCATAGCATGACTTCCCATGGCCTGTGGGCATGGAGCCAGCGCCGTGCCGCTGTGGTAACCCTGGCTGTGGTGAGACCAGCCCACCACGGGGAGTGTCACTCCACTGGCCCCAGGAACAGCCCGCTCCCCCCAG